TTAAGGTTAGATAATCAAATGAATATGATCCTAAAATGATGATGAATATCTAAGGGGTCAAAATTTGGGGTGCAACAGTCAGCAATTGAAGTCTGGACATCTTTACCTTGGATGTGCCTTCATGAGTAGTTCTCAGTATCTCCCAGGCTTCTTTAGCTACCTCACAGTTGTTAACCAATTTGAATATGTTCCTATCTGTTAAGAAATGTGGTTGAGCCTAACTCAACCCTACAAAACCGGCTTGTAGAGTGAGGATTGCCTCCACTTATAAACACATGTTCATGCCATATATTATCCGATGTGGGACTCTTAACACTATCAATTCCATTGAACAAGGCATTCAAAGCTTTGGAGTTGCCCAGAGCTAATTCATCTTCTTCCTTTGTCCATTCTTCCTCAGGCTTCAAGTCAGATGTAGCCTTTCTATCTTTGTCAATAATCACAGGGTGTTCCCCATCCCTTTATGACAGCTTTCCAGGCCTTACTGTCCTGAGATTTCAAAAAAGTATTCCCATCAAGAACAGGTGGTCTGTTCACAAATCTTCCTTCCTTGTCCATGGTACCAGAAAGTATCGTCCCTAGATCTCACCCAGAATCAGAGCAGGCATTGTGCTCATCTTTGGTCTTGATCAGAGGACTGATGTTTGACACTTTGTCTAGGACATTTGTCCTCTATTTTTTGTCCACTTTCTTCAAGGAGTTGTTAAAATTTATACCAATAAATGCTATAGCATCTAATAGACTTTCTTTACTCTCAACTTTATCTTCATCTTCTTCAGTGTTGGATACAAAGGCTATACTCCTGTTCTTCTTTTTTGACCTATCATTTATAGTCATCTCAAAGGTTTGTAAAGAACCGGTGAGTTCATTAACTTTGATGTTTCTTAGGTATTGTGCTTCTTCAATGACTATAATCTTCATATCAAACTTCTTAGGTAGTGATTCTTTACAAGGTGTTAGTCATAGAATTAGATGTAGGTGAATGAAGAACACACACACGCACAAGGTTCTCTCAGATACTTGGATAAATGGGTCTTGATTGTTGATTGATATCACACGTTTGATTAATCATGAACGATACTACGAGATTAATCAACTCATTATGTCCAATTCATCCAAACAACACCAAATTACACAACAACAAGATGCAACAAAAATAAGTGAATTTGACATGGATTAACAATCAAGAAGTTGTTCTAGAGAAGAACAAAAAGATTAATGGTGTTAGGTATAGACACACTAAAGAAGATAAGATAAATTGATATATTTGTCTATATGGGTTTCACCCACGTGTTTCACTCTCTTGTTACTTTCATCAAAGAAACAACTATTTAAATCTAAGAAGGAATGTTGAATTTTTGAAGCTGTGATTCGAGTCAAGAAGAAATTATGATTCAAATCACAAGATTTTCTGATTCAAATCAAGTTACATGCTTGATTCGAATTAATTTGAGCAGAACCCAAATTTGGTTTCATGAAGACATCTAATTTGTATCAAATTTAACACTTGATTCGAGTCACATGAGGTTGTGGTTTTTTTAATCAAATCAATTGATCCAAAGGCAAATTCCAATTTTCACAAGGTTCCTAATTCGAATCAGAATTAACACCTAATTCAAGTCAAGTTACTCAACATCCAAATTTAAGTGCTTTAACTTGTGATTCAAGTCATGTTTGATGAAACAAAAAAAGGTAACTTGTTAGGCTCAAAAAGGGACATTATCAAGGATCAAACACTCTTGATTATTGAGTAATGAAGATTCTCAATGGTACAACAACACAATAATCGGAGTGATCACAATACAACTGAAATACGAATAAAATACAAACGCACGAATATTAAATGATAAGCAAATTACAAATACATAAATAGACTATAACAACTATATTCAAATTGAAAAAATAATAAAACAAGTAAATGATACCATACGATAACGTAACTGCACTTTTATGTAAAACGTGGTGACAAGTTCAACCAATTCATTGACTTTGATTGCATCGACAAACCATCTTTAGTCTAGAGTAGTCAAATAAATTATCTTGTCATTAATGGCACATTTAAGTGACACGTTACTGAACTGGAAAAAAAAAAAGAATACATAAAAAAAATTAGCGTGTCATTAATGACACATTTAAGTGACACGTTATTGAACTAAAAAAAAAGAGAATACAACTAAAGCAATAAAAAAAAAAATACATCAAAAGCAATATAAAATAAGAAAAGAAAATAAACTATAAAAAAAATTATGAAATAAACAGATGTTGTACATCTCTTTTTATATATGTCTGTCCACATGATTCAATTATATTATAGTCGTTAAAATGTTTATTCTATATGGATCGACCCTTCAAAGCCAATAAAACATATGACTTTGAACATAAAATTAGAGTTTAAATTTTTAAAAATTTCTTTTAATCAAATTCTAAAAAGTTTGTTAACAGATAGAGCTAATGCGTATAGGCCGTGAGGAATTCTTTTGGCGTACATAGCTACATATTTTAAAATTTATCTTAATATTTATGTTATTTTATTCAGATAAAATATATTGAGTTGTGAAGCTTCACTAAATTTAATCTCTTATATTATATTTAAGCAAATGTGTACTAAATGTTGTTAATTAGTTGAATACATGATAATTTGACCAAAATTTGAGAAAAAAATTAAGCAATGTTAATTAATTAATAGATTTAGGATCTGGTTATTTTGTCTTTTATAAAAATAATTTTAAATAATGTAGCATAATTTTGTGTAAATAGATTTTTTATAAAAGTTTCAAATAAAAATTTGTTTTAAATTGTTATTCTTAAAATGTTATTTTATATATTTCATAATTTATTAAAAAAAATTTCAATATTAAAATTTGAAAAAATTATTTTATTTTAAAGTTATTTCAAATAGTTTTTATAAAAATTATTTTTAAAATACAACGTTTAGAAAAAAAATATGATTTCGACTATATTTTGATATTTAATAATATATATTTATGTTATAAGATATTAAATTTAATATTTTAATTAAAAAATGAATATAAAAAAATTTATAATATTCTTAAAAAAAGGTTATATAAAATTTAGTTTTTAAAATATAAAAATAAAATTAAACTGAAACAAAAAGATTCTTAATCAACATATTTACGGATTCTGAAACTCAAACTTAACAATCAAATAAAAAAAAAAAATTTGAATTATCACATGTTGGATCATAGATATTTTCTAGTTGAATGAATTCAGATAATTAGTACATAAATTTACCGATCAACATTTATTTGTGTTTTTCGTTTCAAAGAAAGAAACAAAACATACACTAAAAAAAAGTTAAGAATTGAGCAAGGTGAAGGCTTACTTTAGATAAAGTGAGCTTTGATTCAGCCCAAAAAGGTTGAATTATTAATACTAATAATTTTCTTCATAAAACTATTTAACATTATTTAGCATTTTTTAAGATTTTTCTGATTTAATTAAATAAGTTCTTGCAAAAACACTTCAAATGTTCCTTTATATTATTTTATCAAACAATAGTTCTTCAAATGTTTTATGTCAATAAACATGATTTCTACATTTAAAAATTAAAAAAAGTTAAAAAAAACATCACACATTTTAGAAAAATAAAAAATAAAAGATAATATATCTATACTTTCATTTTAGATTCTTTATTGAGTGTCAAGCGTGCAAATTTAACACAAATATCAATTTTTGACAAAATTGTTAGGGAGTCATTGTTTAAAACACAGAGAGAAATTAAAAACAAAAAGTAGTATTATTTATAGAGACTATAAATATATATAACCCTCTGATTTTTTTTTATTGAAACCATAAATATGTATTATAGCCTTTCTTTTATTTTTTTTTAAAATATTGTCTCGTATTTGAACTTTTGAAGCAAAATGGATCCATTTTTTAGTCTATAAAAAATAGAAATTAGACTTATAAAAAAATAAAAATAAAAATTATACAATTATAAAACTATCATCTTTTTTAAAACATGCTTAATGCTTCATGTTAGGGTAGAAAAAGATTTTGCAAAGTGAGATCAAATCAAACCCGATGACACCCCAACTCAGCGTACAATGATGAAGTTTGTAGTGTCCATCCAGTAATCAATAGTGGAAAAATCATGTATGTGAAGGCTTGGTGTAATGATTAATGCAATATCAAGATATACTTTGTACTGTGGACCTTAGTAATGATTCTAATGGTGTGAGGACTGAAGCAAAAATAGTAAGATGTATATTTTTATGCTAAATATACAGAAAAAATGAAAAAAAAATAAAAATAATAATAATAATAAAGAAAAATATTTGATCCTCTTTACTTATATAATGGATATAATGGTCAAATTTTTTACAATGTGGGGGGTAGAATGTTTAGAGATGTTGAATTAAAGGGGTTCTCGACTAGTTCCATAATTTGACCTTTGGCTTGGTCCACAGTGGTGATGTTGTAAAATGAAATTTCTGAGTTATAAAAGTCATACATAAAATTTTACTTCATACCTCTACAATTATATTCATATTCTTACACTAAAAATTTTTGGACCAAAATATCCTCGTATAAATAGTTATAATTTTAGAAATTTTACTTTCCCATTTCATTTGCATTTGAATACTTCTGAAACTACCATTTTTCATCTACAAACCGAAATACTTAGCATAAGTCTTCCGGTACACAAAGTGTAAACCGAAACACATTTCAGAAGTCTTCCGGTTCAAAAAATATATACCGGAACTCTTAGAGTAAGTCATCCGGTGTTGTAAGCTTTCAAAGTCATTGATGAAGACTTCCGGTTTTTGTTTTTTTTCGTTTGTTTACCGGAAGACTTTAAGTATGTCTTCCGGTATTATGAGTTTTTTAATTCACCGGAAGTCTTTTTGCAAGTCTTCCGGTTCATTTTTTTTTTAATTTTTAATTTTTTTTATGTTTTCATTTTGGCAGTGGTGCGCACACGAGGCAGAGACAGTAGGATCCCTTTTCGTGGACTTGGACGGGGCGAATCATCGAGAATGGCTGAAGAAGAGCATATTGATGCATCTGCATCAGCAACCGAGCCTGTTGGATATTTAAGAGGGTCGTACAATTCCTCTCTTTTAGTTAAGTACGGACATCATATTGCTAGACATATATGGTTCGTTGATGTAAGTAAACGAAAATTATTTAATATTGAATAAAATTCAAATTTTTAATGTTGAATTTTATAATATATTTACTTTTAATTGTTTTCAGGAGAGAGGTTCGAAGAAAGAGTTAAAGGTAGCAGGACATAGGTTGAAGTTGATTCAGAGGGTTCCACTACAGCTACCAAGAGAGATGGAGGGTTGGATATCTAGGTCTGGTCTAGCTTCACTCCAGAGAACCAGTTTGACAAAGATAGACACGAACCTGGTTTCCGCATTTGCAGAGAGATGGCATCTAGAGACATCTTCATTTCACATGACGTTTGGTGAGATGACGATTACTCTAGATAACGTCTCTTGCCTGCTTCACTTGCCCATCAGAGGAGTCTTCTGGAGCCCTCAAGATATCATGAAGGACTTGTTATTGAGTGGGTTGTTGATTACTTATGAATGTCACAGAGAGTGGCACAACAACAAGTCCGTGACTGCAGGGGTTCTTATTATAAGTTGGAGTGGCTATATGATCGATTTGTAGAGCATAAAGCTGCTTCTAGATGGGATTATGCGACTATAGCTTATCTGTTGATGTTAGTGGGTTCCACTATTTTTGCGGACAAGACGTTTACGCTTGTCGAGGCACGATACGTCTCAATGCATCTCGAGACACTGAACCATGTAAATTATTGTAAAATGGACTTACGTGGGCATGCTCAACTTCATAAAAACTCTTTTGAAAAGAAGCTCTAACTTTGCCCAGTTGTAACTTTAAGTTGTCATTCATAGCCTCCCAACATTTGACCATGTCACCAATATTGTTCCCCAACATTTTCTTTAACTTCCAATGAGCAGACTCAACCCTAAAATTAATACATTTAAAAATATTTTAATAAATACAAAAAAGATGTACAATTTAGAAATACTAAAAATAAATACATATCGATTAGTCATGGTGTTACCCAAATGTATCACTCGATTAATCCATGCTCTAACAAATCTTTGTCTATGTGGTGTCAACCATATGTCCTTCACATAATCAATAAATTCATTACAATCAACACACGCCTGCTCAAGTTGGTTCAACCTTTGATCATACTCAACCTCATCACTAGCCCATACAACATTCGTCCATAATTCGTCAAATTTCTTTTGCATGTCACTAGCCACATATTGTTTCCATTTTGTACCAACATTCTTGTTAATATGAAATCGACATAGCAAATTGATCGACCTTGGAAACACAATTTCAATGGCTTTCATCAAACCAAGATCTCTATCTGTCAAAATGACTTGTGGACACAAATCTTTCTTCACAAACAATTGTTTAAGCTTATATAGCACCCAACAAAAAGTCTTAGTCTGCTCAGACTCAATGTACGCAAATGCGACAACAAAAGTCAACTCGGCTGATGTCATGCCAACAATTTCAAACAGAGGTTGCCTATATTTGTTTGTCTTGTAAGTGTTGTCCATAACTAACACAATAGGAAAAATATTCAACAACTTAACTGAATCTGGATGAGCCCAAAATATATCTCTAATAACTTCAGAGTCATCTCTTTTTCTACCCCAATAAACATAACCTGCATCCTCAATAAGCTTAAACAAATGTTGTATCTCACTTCTATGACCTCTTATATTTTTTCTATCATACTCTTCTGCTTGTATATTTGCGTGACCCGAGTGACATTATCTGGATCTTGCTCTTGCAATGAAACCAATATATGTCTAGGTGGAACCTTTCTCTTTGTCAAATCAACAACATGTTGCTTCTGATCCATTGTCAACCTACCAACAAATGTGTGACCTTCTAATCTATCAGGTAAACCATGGTTATGAACTCCACATTTTACATCAATCTTCCATCCAGATCCATCAGTCACTGGAATTGACCTGATTCTAAATGGACATCCACATTTTTTCTTCGCACTCTGGGTTCCACTATCAATATCTTTGTGTTTTCCACCTTTATCACATCCAAATATTAATTTGTTACTTCTTCCTCTCTTGCCTGTTTCAATATCTGAGCGAGTGATGATAATCGTTACTTTATTTCGGATTCCGATCTCTTTAATCCATCTTATCACCTCTTCTCGTGTACCAAATCTTTGAGTAGTTGAAAAAACATCAGACTTATCTACACATATCTAATCTTTATCGCATATTTGTGAAGGAATTTTCGTACCTGCATAAAATTTTTTTTACAAAATCAAACCAGAACGCTCGGGAAAAGAGTTTCGGTAGACAAAGATAATAAACCGGAAGACCTGTAAAAAGTGTTCCGGTACACTTTTCCTTCATACCGGAACTCTTAAGACAAGTGTTCCGGTAAATAATACTACCAAACCGGAAGATATGACATATAGTCTTCCGGAAGATTTCTACGTAAAACTCAAACCTGAAGTCTTTGTTTAACTCTTCCGGTACATATTTTGTATAAACCGGAACTCTTAGCCAAAGTCTTCCGGTTTGGAAAAAACAACATACCGGATGTCATTTTAAAAATGTTCCGAACGACTTGATGGGTGAATTTTTCGGAACTCTAAAAATCTGACAGGACAGTAAAAAGTAAAAAAATAAAATAATAAAAAATAGACAGGAATAAAATTGATATTTTTTTAAAAATATAGGGGTATGGGTATAATTGTAGGGGTATGAGGTAAAATTTTCAGTCACACATTAGTTTATTAGTTTATATACAGTGGTCATTAGGGATAAAAATAGGTTGGCCCGAGTTAAGTTTTGTCAAGCTTAAGTTTGGCCTTTAAAAAAACTGAAGTCTAAGTTTGACTTGTAGTCTATCATAGACTTATTTTGAAGACTAAGTCTGACATTTTTTAATATCGGGTTAGTCTGTTAGCCTACATAAAAATCTATTATTTTAAATAGACTAACAAACTAAAAAACCAATGAGACTAAAAATTTATTCACATTGACTTATTTTAATTTACCTATTAGCATCAGTTTTGTGAGATTATTTGTTTAAGATAATTTATGAAAATAACTTATAACATTGTTCATGAGGTGTTTTCGTCTTATTTTTATAAACTTTTCAAGATAACCAATTTTTATTTATGTATTTTAATTCAAAATATTATAAAAATATTATTCATATTTATTTAAATAGGCCGGCATGTTAGATTTAAAAGACTTTTTTTTATGACCTGAGACCTAGCTTTTTTTAACTAAATAGACTTATAAAAAGTCTAAGCCTTTTCTATGTAAAAAAAATTAGTTTGACCTAAACCTATGTAGGCTAGGCCCTATTATCAACCTGACATATTTCCACCCCTAATGGTGATACCGTCCGTGTCATTGAAAAAGTGTAATATTAATTTTATCAAATTACATTTAAAAAACTATTCTGATCAAACTCCAAAAACTATACTTATTTAAAGAATTATTGTTATGTTGATCGGAAAAATTAGGTTGTAATTTATTTAGACTGATTTGAAAATCTTTGATGAAGCGGAATAAAAAATGATAGAATCCATTTCATTCTATTTTATTAAATTTTTTAATTTTCATTCCACCTAATTTAGATTGTATTCAATAGAATGAATTAAATTGTTTTCTTTCAGGCAAATTATAAAATATATATAAATAATATAATAAAATTTCAATTCACTTCACTTTATTCCATTCTATTTTAATCTATCAATTCAAACATAATTTTAATTTAGAGACCGTCGAAAGGAACAAATTCAAAATTTATAAGATTTAAGTTTTGAAGTTTGAATATATATATATATATATATATATATATATATATATATATATATATATATATATATATATATATATATATATATATATATATATATATATATATATATATATATATATATATATATATATATATATATATATATATATATATATATATCATTTTGCTCATATTCAAAATTTTTTTTTCTCCAAGAAGTGGTATCAACTCAATTTGTGATTTATATCATGTTGCTCATATTGAAAAGGTGATTGATATGTAATTAGATATTTGAGTTACCTCTAGATAATGAAACAAAAGGTTTGTTCCAAATGAGATGAGACCATATTTGCTTTAATGATTTTGGTAGGATGGCAAAATCTGAATTAGAAAAAGTTGAGTAGCCCACGTGAGAAGTCCCTTCTTTACTTTGCTTTTATGGTTATTGAGTTACTTTCGGTACTAAACAATTATTATAGACACATGTTCAATTCAACATGGCCAATTGGCCATGAGAAGATTTTAGACTCACAAAATTATTAAAATAATGATGTGATCTCAAGGTTTGTTGGTAACACCTTAACATGAGTGGTTATTTTGTGGACTCGATCCTCGCCAATTTTTTTGATTGATTCTCTAGTTTAAAATGTGAAATTAGATTGAATGTCAGATGATGATGATGACGAAGACGACACAAGTGTCTTATTTATATTCAAGTAACTATGCTACATAGTATAAACTTTCTTCTAATTTTACTTATACTTTATTAATGTTGAATTTGGAATTTTTTTTCCAATACTCATATTTCAGTATTATATATGGCATGTGGATATAAGGAGTGATCCAAATTATTGATAGATAGTTGTGAATTTGTTTCTCCAATACACCATCTTATGCACAACGCTTTTTTTTTTTTTTTTTTTTTTTTTTTTTTTTTTTTTTTTTTTTTTTTTAATGCAAATACATTATATAACGTACTCAAACAATACAAAATACAGATAAACAAGAACGGTCAAATAAGTAAACTAGAACAATGATTTATAAAAAACTTTACTGGTAATAAACACCAATCATTCCAACATAAACTCACAACATCCTTCTTTCTCGCGACAAACCAATTCCAGCCCAAAACTTTAGTCCGATAAGCCACATCATATGTGCGTACAGTCAGATTATGAAAAACGACCTCGTTTCTGACTAACCACAAAACCTCGCAAACCGCCAACCATATCACCAAGCAAACCTTCTTATGGATTCTACCATCGAGCAAATTCGCAAAGATACTGAAGTTAGTGTCTGATTCGTCTGTGAGGACTTGAAACGGTAAATCCAGCCAATTGTAAATGTGTTCCCAAACCTGTAGAGCAAACGAGCATTCGAGAAATAAATTACTGCGGTTTTCCTCGGCATCAGAACATAAGACACATGCTAAATTTTCAACACCATTGATAATTCCCTTCTTCGCTAAAGCGGTATGCGTCGACAACCGGTTCAAAATCAACCTCCACCCGAAGACTAATATTTTGCTAGGCACATTTGTAATCCAAAGCAATTTCAAAAGCTGAAGAATATTTAAGTTTACCTGCACATCAATATGAAACACTGCTTGAAGCACTTGGTAACTGTTTTTGACAGAGAAACCATGTTTGCCCCTCCACCACACAAACGAGTCGCTCTCCCACCGTTTCAGATTGATATCCTGCAAGATAACCATTAGAGACTATAATTCATCTTCCTCATCCGCCTGCAGTGGTCTGTCAACCTTCAACTTCACATCCCAAGACCACCCGTCATCACCCCAACCAAGTATTTCTCCAAAATCGACGAGCCAT